CTAAAATGCCCTTGAAAATTAAATCACTCAAAGCTTAAACTGCTGCGGGAAAAATTTCATAAATAAAATACTGAAAACACACTCTTATAGTTTAATGCAATGCCCTAACATGTGGGCAAATTAAACTCAAACTTTAAAATCTCAATATGATCTCTAGTCTATCCTCATAATCATAAAAACGTAATAACTAACTAGTCTCAGCTGCTACTGCTCATATGAAACTCTGACTGGATATCCTCCAAGGCGCTCGTATCGTTCTCCTCTAGCTGGCTTCCCTTGAACTGTTTCTCTCCATCGTGCTGCTCTCTAACTGTTCCTCTAGCTCCTCCTCTTCAAAGTACTGGTGAGTGAGTTGGGGTAGTCTACGCCCTTACATTTTTAACTTTTTACTACTTGAGCACTTTTCTTAAAACACTTACTTAATTTTGTGGAAGTTATGAGTACTTCTACTTTAAAACTTAACTCTTAAACTTTGAGGGAGTTGAAGTTACTCTCCTCTCTTAAAGCTCAAATCTTGACTTAAATACTTGACTGACAACGGGGATCCCTCACTAGCTAGTCTGGTTTCCCAACTCATGCGTATGAGAGCCCATCCAGACTTTCCTTAAACTTAAACTTAGTTAGGGGAGTCGTAACGATTCATCCCCATAACATCTTAAACTTATCGTGGTGGCTCTTCACCACGATTCTCAAGAGCATAACTGTTTCTCATCTTAAAAGTCTGAAGAGCATAACTGCTGCTCTATCTCAAAGGTCTCAAGAGCATAACTGCTGCTCTATCTCAAAATCTCAAACGGCAACAGAGTGGCGCTAGTGACTAAAAACTCTTAAAACTACTTCACCTTCACTGAAGGTGAAGTACTTCTTATAAAGGACTTGTTCTTAAACTTTAACAATCACTCATAACGTAAAGCTTTAAGTTAAATAAAACACATTCACTTCAAATCATAGCTCAAACAAAACACATTCATCTTACATAATCATGCTGTCTCAAACATGAATCAAATGCTACACATACATCACGTAAATCAATACTTGAAAATACTCAAAGGCAAATGCTTAAAAAAGTCGTAAGGCGTAGAATTTACCCCCTTTATACTCACTTTATTTGAACGAGGCGACTAGCTGGAATTCTTCCCCAACCTTGTAGACCACCCAACGCTCCGACTCTTGCCATAGGTGCAGAACTATGCGATCCTCCATATGGCCATACAACTACGTGAATTCAATTTGGGAATTGCTGTAAAAATCACATTCCCATCAATCCACATATCTCAACCCAAATATATCATGCTTCACAATTCCTCTCCACGTTACCTATCCAAATTACCATGTCCACTTTAGCAAATGCATTCCCCAATTCCATTACACTTACACAGATTATTCAACAACCCCAAATATAAGTAGTCAACACAATTGGCAATTTCACTTGGCAATTCGCTTCTATTATGAGCGTTTAATCACCTAGAAGCGCGCAGAGACAAAATCGGGAAGGGTTTATACACCATACCTTGATCATTAATCGCCTTTTGGGTACTCCGTTACTGACATCCCAGTCTTCGATTTCACCACATCGCCCATAATAATCCTCCATAAACTCTCTATATCGTCGCTGCAGGGTACGTGAATCGATCATCTCCACCACTAACCCAACGATCATAGGAGCTAGGTGCTTGATTTGGAAGCTTCCGTGTTGCTTGTGACCACTCTCTAAGCTGCGTGCTTCATCTCCCTCTATTTATATAAATCGCATATGGCTGCAGCTTCCAATCGAAGGAAAGCTGAGTTTTTACGATCTCACTTTGTTGCATAGAGAAATCACGAGCTAGGGGAAATATGAGCGGCAGCTCCATTGCACATATATACCCACGTAACTCACCCGAAGGGTTTAGCTTAGGGTGAATTTATTCCAAGTGGTATTTTGGGAATTTCACGATTAATTGGTATCGGGTGAGTTTGATCTGAAACTCAGTTAACGTTAGTAACTTCTTCATTTTATGTCGAAACTCGACACCGTTTGAACCGAGGTTCACATCTTTAATCATCATCGATGATGCGGTGGAATTTGAAAAAAAATTATCAAGGAAAAAATGGTCATTTTGGCTTAAGGAAAGGATGGGGTGTAACATGAACTCTTCAATCTCAAGCAACTTATTTTGCATTCATCTCCTGCTAGTTCCATGTCGAGATTAAATGCCTTACTTTCCTAATAAAATTTATGTTCGAGCTCCACAAGTAAATGAAAGTCTTTTCATAGAACATTCGATGTGGCAAAGAGCCCATGGAATTTTTCTAGACAGTTTGATATGCCCAAAGAGCATCATCAAGTTTGGTAGACCAATCCTTATGAAAGTTGTCTACCATCTTTACCAATATTTTCTTCAGCTCTTTGTTTGTAAGCCCGACTTGGCCACCGATAGTGGTAAGATGTGGAGACCTTATGGTGGATGCCCAATCTGTCATAAACTCGATCAAACTTACCTTGAAAATATATCCCTTAATCCTTTAAAGCAAAGAGTGATTCAGGAAAATGATTCATCCACTTTAGGGATCCAAAAATGCGATCTAAACATTCATGAATCCAACATTACCCATACTCCTATTTGACCACATAAATGGACATCCGTTAAATCCCAAATCCTATAAAGCAAGGGTATTTATAAATTTTATTAAATCTAAAGACTGCATCGACGACCATGGCAACCCACCTTCGTTTTCTGTCGACTCCAAAACATAATTTAGATCTCCCACCATCACATATGGTATTGTAATCCCTTCAAAGTACACCCTTAATACCCCAAGTTGGGCTCGGTGAACTGTTTCATTGCAACTCAAGTAAACACACACTACAATATAATGAGAATCCTCTTCATTAATTTAAACAGAAAAAAAATAAAGAAAAAATCCAACATTGAAAACTTGAATTCATTGGACCATCCTTTTGATAACCTTGAGAAGACGCGACAACATCTATAAGAAAGAAAGAAAAAAACCCAAACCCCTTAAACACCGGGACACAACTTTAGAACGTGACCTAGTCTCCGACTCCGAAAGGAATACAAGTTTGGCTTATTTGAATGACAAAGACCTAGCAAAGTTGGCCGACTGGAGCTACTTACAGCTGGCTTCTTCACCAACCTATTCTTGATGTTCTCCAGCTTCATTTTCCTACCAAGCCCACTTGTTCAAAGTTGGATCCATGGACAAGTCCTCCACCATCTCCGCCGATCGCTTACGATCATCGACCTCATCCTCATCAGAGACCACAAACCTATAACTCAGCTTGGGTTGCGCAACCAGAACTGCTTCACTCCTTTGGTTCTCTCCAATATCTCGATATTGAGTAAAAGGTGTTTGTTGAAGTCTAGCCAAAACCTTCCTTGTACGACTTGAACTCAGATTTCCTTCCTTAGTGACGAAGAGAGGACTTTCTAGAAGCTCTCCATGGGCTTATGTTTGGGCTTTAGTGGCGATCGGGCTCCTTACTGGGTTGTCACATGTTTTCTTCGTGCAATGGGTTTCTTGGCCAACAAGCAACCTCTCCTTCAAAATTGGGCGAGATTTGACGTGTAGAAGTCCGTTTGGACCTCAGTCAAAGTTTGGTTTGCTTCATTGCCTGGGTCTTTTAGTGATCCATATTCGTCTGGAATGTAATAAGCACAAAACAACTCAAGAAGGCGTAAAATAGTACAAAAACACACTTAAGGTCTATCATAAGCGCTTAAATCAAATAGTTACAATATTCATATAAAATATAATAAAAACTACTAAAGATGCATTGATAAAAGGGGAAAGTGTATCAAATATGAGATTAATAAACACTATAAATTGAGCTTCATCATACACGTATGGGTAAAACCCGCAAAAAGTTTGATGCATATGAGACGAGTTTGGTTTTAGACTTTTCCGCCCCATACCTGCCTCATCAAGATTATTTATTAATATATTCAAATATATTGAGATTCTACTATAACTTCTGAATGACAGGAAGAGTAATTCAAAAAAATAGTAAGAGAGTTAAAATGTAATTGAGTAGTCACCCAAACCAACACTAATTTGTTTCTCTAAATTCCCCCTTCACTCTTTCACTTCCTTTTCATTTGTCAACAAGATTATGTTAGTTGTTTATTGCTTCGTAGACGTTTCGGAGTCATAGATGAATGGGTATTTTATGATTGGATGCTTTGAATTCATATCGAGAGTCTTTGTATCTTTGTTAAATTCATGATTTATTATGTTCATTTAGTGTTATAATTGAAAACTACGTATTGAATTCTAGATATAATAATATTGGATATACAAGGCGAATATCATCTACAAGTACTCGAAAATCAAAAATATAATGATGAGGTTACAATAGTCTCATGAATATGAGATGAGTATAAAATTTGACTATTTAAACATGAGGATGGTTAGTCTCATGAATATGAAATGAGTATAAATTTGACTATTTAAACATGAGGATGATTTGGAGAAATTCGCCTCAAACCTGCATGTCCATTACCAATTTTTACCATCCCTACTCATATGACAGATACATGTGAGTTTGGTGAGCAAATTGATACTTAACCAACCATATCCAACGCAATGATCAAACAATAAATGTGAATGCAAAACCCAACAATAGGCCTCTTCCCGTAGAATAAAACAAATCAAGACGTGTATACTTAAGTTGCCTTTGCCTAGGAAGTTCTAGAAAATTCCACTCAGAACCAGTAGCTTTTTTTAATAAAATATTTTTATTAATCACTCAAAACCAGTAGCTTGACTTATTGATTCACGTAGAAAACAACCAACCCCATCTCTCCTCCCACCTAATCTTGGTCAATCAATGAAGCTTACCGAGTAACAACCTCATAGTGGAAACACTCAAATTTGAGGTGGTTCTTATTAGGAAAAGTGATAGGCACGGAATGGGTATGTATATGTGTCTTTGTCAGGTTTTTTTTTTTTTTTTTTTACAAAAGATAATCATATATTGATCACAAAAAATAGATAGTTTACAACCTGGAATTCAACCAGGCCTGAAAATCAAAGAAACGACTCCCAGTCGGGTACAACGAAAGGGCTTTACAAGCCACCAGATGGGCTACCCTATTACTACGCCGACCTACAAATCGAACACGAAACCCAGGAGAGCTGCTACAAATCTGCAGGAGTTCCTCCAACACAGCTCCAACTCGGTCATCCCTAGCATCCTTCTGATTGATTTTATCAATAAGCACCTTCGCATCCCCCTCAAACCTTACTCCCGAAAGACCAGCCTCCAAGCACCACCACATCGCCTCCCGGAGAACAAGTAGCTCTACTACCATAGGGTCATCTATGCAAGGAAACTGAAACCCCTTAGCCATCCAAACCTCTCTAGTTGGAGTTAGGAGGACCACCCCCCCAGCCGAATGCGACCCCTGCCTCACCGCGCTGTCCCACATACAAATAACACTGTCCTCCCCAGTAGGATGAAGGTGAGGACCCCCAGCCGGAGCCCCCATCTGGGTAACTACCAAGGGACCCTTATCCAAAGGCAACCTGACCCACTCCTCATACTGCTGGTGAAACTGGCGCAGCAAGGCCGGAAACCCAAATTGCTTTCCTTCAAAAACAACCCAGTTCCGAGACCGCCATATTCGCCAAAGGACAGCCACCACAGCCATAAACAGAGAAGGCTGATGAATGAGGGCCAAAAGTCGCTTCAGGAACATAGGGAAGGTATGTCTCGGAAGACCCTCTCCTAGATACCCAAGACCAGAGTAATCCCATAGGGCCCGAGCCACCGGACAATCCAAGAACAAGTGCTCCATTGACTCAGTACACGCCCAACAAACAGGACATCGGGGCTGTACCAGGACATGCTTATCAATAAGTGCCTCCGTGGTGGGCAAAATCCGGTTGAAGATCTGCCAGAGAAAAACTTTTAGTTTCGGGGGGATGTTTGCATTCCAAACCCGAACCCAGTCCTCTTTACCCATCCAACCAACCGTCGATCTCCAACCTCCCTTCCTCTTATCCCTGTCAACAGCTAAATGGTAGGCAGATTTCACAGTGAAAACCCCATCCGCCGTACCATGCCAGATTAGCTTATCCAAAACATCTTGCCGCAGAAGGGGGATAGTTTTAATTGCCTGACAGGTGGGTGGATCAAACCATTGACACAATTTGAGGTCATCCCAACACCCCTCCCCTGGACGCATCACTTCAGCAACCAGTAACTTCCCCCCTTCTGGCAAAATACGAGGATTATAACAAGGGGGCTCCATCTGCAACTTAGGGATCCAATTAGAGTCCAGTAAAGCCACAGTCTGCCCGTTCCCAATCTGCCACCGTAACCCCTGGGCCAGCAATTCCCTACCAAAAAGGATACTTTGCCATCCCCACGAAGGGCGAGACCTAGCTGATGCCTCAAGAAACGAGCCATTGGGGAAGTACTTGCCTTTGTACACCTGGGCCAACAACGATTGAGGTTCCATTAGGATACGCCAGCCAATCTTAGCCAACAAAGCCTGATTGAACTGCTCAAACCGACGGAACCCCAACCCCCCATCGTGCTTGCTACGGCATAGATTACGCCAGGACACCCACCGGATCCGAAAATGATCATCAGCATCCCCCCACCAAAACCGGGCCACATGCCTATCCAGGAGGCGACATAAAGAGAGCGGTAGCTTAAAACAGGACATCACATGCAATGGCAAGGCTAGCGCAACCGACGTAATCAAGGTCTCTTTAGCAGCCCGCAGCCCACGACAAAGTCCTCCTCTTCCACCCCTGGAGGCGCTCCAACAGCTTTTCCTCCAAATACCGGAAAGTGGTCATCTTGGACCTAGCAATAAGCGCAGGCAACCCCAGGTATTTATCATGGACCCCCACCGCCCCCACTCCCAGAACCGCGGCCAAGAATTCCTGATCCTCACGGACGATATTTTTACTGAAACAGACAACCGACTTGGTCAAATTCACCCGTTGGCCGCTCAACTCCTCATACTCATTTAGGACCTCAATCAGATTTTCACACTCCCTGAGGGTCCCTCGCAGGAATAAATACGAGTCATCCGCAAAGAACAAGTGCGAGATCCGCGGCACCCGAGGGGCCACCTTCACTCCTTCCAATCTTTTTTCCGTGATAGCCTTGCGAAGGAGCGCCGCAAAGCCCTCAGTGCAAAGTACGAACAGAAGAGGGGAAAGCGGATCCCCTTGCCTTAAACCTCGGGAAGGAGTAAAATACCCTGAAGGAGTCCCATTCATAAGGACCGAAAAAGATGACGATCGAAGACATTCGTGAATCCATCCCTGTCAAGTAGAATTAAAGCCCATCTTTTCCAATACCGCAAGGAGAAAGGGCCACTCGACTCTATCATATGCCTTTTCCATGTCAACCTTTAGAGCCATGAACCCTTTCTTGCCGCGAGTCTTGATTTTAAGATAATGCATTAACTCATGTCCCAGCAGTATATTTTCAACAATTTGACGTTCCCGGATGAAAGCATTTTGCCCCTCAGAGATAATCTTTGTAATGATTTTATAAACAAACTGGCACAAACTTATTGGTCGTAGCTGCCGCATGGATTCAACATTGTCTACCTTTGGGATTAGTGTAAGCCACGTATGGTTAAAACTACGGAGCATCCGGCTTGTAGCAAAGAAGGAGCAAACTGCCAAAATAACCGACTCCCCCACGATGTCCCAAAAGGCCTTAAAAAATTTCCCAGTGAAGCCATCCGACCCTGGCGCTTGCTTTGACCCCATAGCAAACACCGTTTTACGAACCTCGGTCGGGAGAACTTCCGCCGTAAGACTGGCATTCATCTCTGGGGTAACACTACGAGCTATCGGCAACGAGGCCACACGCTCAGCCATATTCCCCACCTGATTTTTAGTCGTAAAGAGGTTTTGATAGAAGGAGGTCGCAATACCCGCTTTTCCAACTTCGTCAGTTATCCAGGCATCATCGTCATTCCGTAGGCCAGCCACAAAATTTCTTTTACTCCGAGTCCGAGTTACCGTATGGAAGTAGGACGTATTTTTATCCCCTTTCTTTAACCAGTGGACCCTGGACTTCTGTTGCCAATAAACTTCCTCCGCCTCCCATTGTCTACTCAATTCCATCTCCAGCTCCCGGATCGTATCCCAGTCAATAGGCTGGGTCAATTTGACCTGATCAATTTCGCTCTGAAGGGTATGAATATTTCGCAGGGAATTTGTAGTACCTGCTCTGCTCCAATCATACAGGAAATGACGAAGCTTCTTGAGGCGCTCCCAAAGGCGGAACATAGGGGTGCCCTGGATCTCCTCCTTCCATACATAGGTAACCATAGCCGGCACCTCAGGATTATCTGCCCAACGGGCATCAAAGCGGAAGAGAGGGCGGCTATTCCGATTATAAGGTTTATCAGACAGGAGGAGAGCTCTATGATCCGAGCCTTGATCCGTGAAGTGTTTGACCAAGGTATCAGGAAACCGATCAATCCACTGCTGGGAACAGAGGGCTCTATCCAACCGTTCACGAATACAGGCACTACCCATTCTCCTATTTGTCCAAGTGAAAATATCCCCTTGGAAACCCGGGTCATGAAGCCCCAGGTTATTGATAAAATCACGCAAGCAAGACGAATTATTAGCATTCCAGGGGTTTCCACCATCTTTTTCGCTCGCATTAAGAACAGTATTAAAATCGCCAATAATAACAAAGGGGAGGTGGAAACCGGAACAGATTTCTTGGAGCTGGGCCAATTGGGCAGCCCGAATAGGAGCAGCGCAGCTAATATAAACCCAAACCACAATATAAGAAAAATCTATTTCATTAACTTGGGAGCAAATACAAAAATTAGAAGAATAAAAAACCGAAATATCAATTTCCGAGGTCCAAGCTAACACCAGCCCCCCCGACCCATCAATAGCATCAATAAAATAACAATGAGAAATATCAAAGCCTAAGCCCCACATACGACGAGAGACGACCTGCCGGCTCGATCGTGTTTCCGAAAAAAACACGAGATCCGGTTTATTCGAAAAGACCATGCCCACTGCCGTTTGTAATGTGAGAGATGGTCCAATGCCCCTCACATTCCAGGCTAATAATCTCATTTATCTGGTTGGGGCCACTCCAGGCTGGCTTCCTCCACCTTCTCAAGGACATCAGCAACTTCCACAAACTGTTTTTTCGGCGTTGGTGGGGTACCCACCTCCCCATCAATGACCTCTATTGGCCGTTTATTCAACCCAGCTGGCGGGTTTATCAAGTTAGACCCATATTCATCCAGCAGTCCTGCACTCATCACATTGATGCCATTGCTACCCTCCTCCTTTCCAACTTTTGTGTCACCGGACCAGGCTGGTTCCACCACCTCATAAGCAATCGTCAAACCTGCCTCAAAAGCAGCCACCACACGGGTAACTCGCCCGTTGGAGGGCGGGCAGAGATTTTTTGAGGCCTCGAGAGGGGATCGCTTTCTAATAAGAAAACCCTGGCCTTCCCCCTCCGACGCTGACTCTTCCGAGCCCTCCCCCTCCTCTAGATCCGCCACCAATTCTCCCCCTGGGAATTTATGGCTAGGAATGGCGGGTGCATTTTCTTCCACAGCAGCCTTCGGTTGGGCCGGATCATCCCCCATATCCTGCGGCGCCCATTTTGCATCACGGGCCTTCCCCGCCCCTTGGTTTTTGGCTGGGCGTGGTTTTTGAGGCCCACCCGATTGCTTGGGCTGTGAGATAACTAGGCCTTCCACTGCCGTGGGCCGGACCTCCTCAAACTTCTTTTTGCCCTTCACCTGACTTTTGGCCCGCCGAAGCCTCCTTCTCATCGGCTTCACCTTTTCCGGATCCCTCTGAACCACGCCGGCCTCCATCTCCCTAGCTGATTCCAATTGACGGGTCGATCCGAAATACCCTGGTTATCCATCGGAGTCACGTCCACCATGTCATCGTCCGAATCCTCTTCAAGGAGAAGTCGGCGCCGTCGAGAGTGCTCCTGGATCATGGCTGGTGTCTCCTCATTCGAGGGCGGCTCCGATTGTACCTGGGCTGAGGACCGAGGCCGAGACTGAGCCGAAGCTATGACCGTCCTCCTCTCTATTTTTGGGTTACCCGGAGCAGTCCCCGACACCTTCCTGCCGGATTTGCTCGGCCGGTTTTGTCCCAGACGGACTTTGGGGGGGCGGTTAACGACAAAGCCCCGCGGGCTTCCTCTCGGCTTCTGGGTCGGCCTTCCCGAGATCTGCATCTGTTGCACCGCCGGTTCATCAATCGACACCTCTGCCATCATAATCTTTGAAGAGGCAGTTTGTTTCATTCTCGCCGCTGACTGGGCAAGATTTTGAGACTCCCTTGTTGGTTCAGCACTATCCATCGCCATAGGAATACGTTGCTGGCGATTGATCCAAACCGACCGCCTCGACCCTCCAAAAACAGGGGAATCGCCTTCCTCCTCATAGAGTTTCCTCCCCACCTTCTTAGTTGCCATGTGAGGGCCGAATCGCTCTTGACCCTGAGGTGGATCAAAGGAACAGTCACGGCGGGCATGCCCAATTCGGCCGCAACGGAAGCAGAAACTTGGCAGGAATTCATATTTGCAGCTAACCCAAAACTTGTCTCCTTCCTCGCTTGCTGCCATAATCTGCGATCGGAGCGGCAGGGAGAAGTCAATAACAGTATTCACTTTGATAAATCGCTCTCCAGTCTCCTTGCACGCAAAGATCCCAGCATCAATAACTTGGCCGATCGCAGCAACCACCATTTTCCGCCCAAATAGTTTGGTGCAGCAGTCCTCTTTGACTCCCCAAAGCTGGACCCGAAGCGGGGCCTTTGCCATCTCCTCATAGTTCTTTTTCGGAATCACAGGTGACCAGGGGCAAAGGGTGAGCAACCGATCTTTAATGATCCATGGATTCCGAGACAGTGCCCATTTCTTCGCCTCTTCATTAGGCAAAACGATCTCGAACAGGCCATGCTTGGCTCGTATGACCCTAAGCTGCCCACGGATTTTCCAGGCATCCAGCAGCTCCTCTCGCAACTCCCCCGTGGTTATTTGATCATTTGTGAAGAGATGCCCCAGGAGGGATCGAGCAGCTCGGAAGCGGGTCGATTGCACCTCTTCCAGGGAAAAATGGACGACCTGATCCTCTGTTACGTGAGCCATCGTGCACAAATCCTGGCAAAGAGATTTATTAATCGTATTAGCGCCAGGTATTTTCCACCCTAACACCTCGTCCGTCAGCAATTTACCATGCACTGCTGGCTTGGGACAAGGGTGTATAACAGGTGTGTGTTTGAATGGGGTAGCACGAAAAGAAACAGGGATGGATTGAGGGTTCCAGACCCTCCACATACCTGAGCTGCTCCGAAGGGGTGCGAAAATAGAGAGAGTTTCCGTTGAAGCAATTTCCCCTGGACGTCGAGACTTTTGGGTAGATACAGTCCAGCGTCCATTGGGACGGAGTATAAATAAAGATAAAGGCCCTCTGCCACCGGAAAATCCTAGTTGCAGGTACATGTTTGGAATAGTAAGAGTTCGAATAGGAGTGAAATTCCCAACCAGGAGAGTATCCTCACTCGAATCTTTTCGTTGGGCAGTGATCCGCGTAGATCCCCCAAACAGCCCCGAAAAAGCAGGGAAATCCATTCCCGGACTTATCGCCAACTGCTTCCCCAAATTCTCAGACTGGGGGGGGGGGGGGGGGGGCAAATCCCGCGTGGCCAAGCACGGCGGCGCATCAGCAGAACCGCCGGCAGCAACGACCGGAGCGCATCGCCGTCGCCGATTAATCACCAGCCCACGCATTGATGCCGCTTCCGCCACAAAGTCCCGATCACCTAGGCCAACCCGAGCGTTTGCTCTTTCACCAAGATCACTGGACTCAACATTAATTTCATCAGTCCTGGATAACAGCGGTTCTTCGCCTACCAGATCCGATGACGGGAGACAAAATCTCCATTCATGAAATTGAACCAATCTGCGTTTTTTCACAGAGATAGAGATAGACGGATCATTTTCAATCGAGAAATCTTGCATCTCCCGGGACAAAACTTGTTTCCGCTTCTTGAGAACCCGTTTCAGGTTACACCCCATCTGATTGGGATCGCAATGCAGTCTGGGGACGCTACCCATTTTCCACCGCGTTCCGTTTTCCGATCCATTCCCACGATCAAGATCATGGCCCCGCTGAGCTTTACCAGCATTTTGATTCACCAGGCTGATCAAGAAGAAAGAAGAAAAGATCTCCAGCAACCAATTCCCAAGCCAACACGACCAGGCAAGGAGAGAGGGGAGAGCGCCTCTCATCCCCAGAAAAATTTTCATTTTTCCATGTGTCTTTGTCAGGTCAAATTATAAATCATAGTAGAACATTTTAATTCAAGATAGTTGAGACGGATTGGCTCATATTTAAAAGGAAAAAACAGAGCAATTCATTTTTATTACAAAATCGAGAAAAAAATATTTGACAAAAAAAACAAGTTGGTGACATGATAATAAAGTCAAATAAATTTAAGAGATGAGGTGTTTCATTTAAACAGTTGCTAAATTAAAGTTAATACATAAATATTTTATAGGAATTGAATGCAATAAATAAGAAATGGAGGAAACAGAACAACATGACGCAAAAAGAGCACCAATATCTACCATGTCCCGTGTGTTTAGACTGGTATTAAGTTGAAATAGTTCAAATCTAGTGAATCAATTGAGATAGGTAATTGTCTCACCACTCCACCGAGAAACACACCACTGTAATAATGTCTGCCAATCTCCCAACTCTGGCAGAGCTGCAGTCAGCAAAACACAAAGAAAGAACACTTCTGACACATGAACACTCAGCAAAAAGATGATGACGCGATTCATAACCCCCAGGACATAGTAGACAGAGACCAAAAAGTGCCTTCCCCCACACAATCAACTTGTCCTACAATTTTAGCGTATCATTTATCACAATTCGTAGGATAAATCCATGACGAGGGACAATATATTTGTCTCAAATGAGCCTATACCAGTGGCGGATCCAGAAATTTTTTTTTGGGGTGTTTTCTTTCAAAAATTAAATTAAATATTACATAAATAATGTCTATTTCACCGAGCCTCTCTCCGAGACAGTGCCCAGATCGTTACGCCTTTCGGCGTCAAATCCCAGGGCTCAACCCTGGACAAAATATCCAATTAGTATAAATGTTCACAAAAGCCACGATGTGTTTTCAATTTCGAAAAAATATAAGATAGATTTGGTGTGTACACTGCTCAACAAATCGGTATATCCTACTAGATCGCATATTCAATTTCTACCTTGTTCATGATGTAATTCAAAGTTGAAAAAGACTGTTTCAACACTTGCAGTGTAACCATAAAATCAATTCAAATTAGGGTACCACTGGGGATAAGAAATCGTGTTTTCAACATTACATAGTGTTTAAAATACAACAACAAATGAGTTATAATCTAATGGAGAAGATGTTAAATAATAGGAGTGTCCTAGATTTGAATAACACAGAGTACCACTTATATTTTTTTAATCACGCAAACTACTATCGAGGGTAAGATAATCATTTATTAAAATTTTAGGGGTGTCTCAGTTTACTAATTATATTTTGTTTATCCATACGAAACTACTACCGGAGGTTGAATAATCGTGTTCCCAAAATTTAGGGGTGTCCCGGGACACTCCTAAAGCACCATGTATCCGCCACTGGCCTATACCACGGCACGATATTGTCACGCTGTCTCAACGAATTCCAGACTTTCTTTACAAAGTAGGATGTCATCGGATCTCCATCCCATGTCAACCCAGCCCCAAATTGTGATATAAAGGGTCTTGCTGCCTCTCGACTATAGGTGTCAAAACATAGCCCGACCCGATTAACCCGCCCGATCAACCCGACCCGAACCCGACCGCAACCTGAATTGACTAAAAGTCAACAACCCGTAACCCGCCCAACCCGCAACCCGACTAACCCGCAACCCGATTGACCCGCAACCCGACTGACCCGCAACCCGATTAACCCGAACCTGATTAACCCGAACCCGACTAACCCGTAACCCGACCGACTCAACCCGAATTTCATCTAATCCACTTGAATAATTATAAAAATATACAATACATAGTTTTTAAAAATAAAGTTTTTCATTCTAAACTTAAGTAAAATTATTTTTTCATTTCGTATAAGAAATTTTAAAAATATGAAACTCACTTGATATAACGTATTTTAAGAAAATTACAAAAATTGAAACATGAAGGTCACTTGAGATCATGACAATATTAATACAATATATAAATTAACATTTTGGTTAATTTAACTATTCAATAAAATTATTAATTAAATATAAATAAAGTAAAGTAATGTATTTGGTAATTTGATGTTTTTAAAAAGAAGAGGGAAATTTTGGTGTATTCAAGTTTTTGGGAAGAGAAAGAAGAGGGAAATTTGGTTCTTTGAATTTTTTATAAAAGTAACAAGTGGGAATTTTGGTGGTTTTGATATGTGGGAAGAGAAAGAAGTGGGAAAGTTTGATTCTTTTGATATGAAAGAGAAATAAGGAGGGAAACTTTTGACTTTTCAACCTTTTGTAGAAAGAAAGAAGATAGTAATTTGGTTCTTTCAATTTTATGGAAGAGAAAGAGGAGGGAAAATTTAGTTTTTCTAATGTATGGAAGGAGAAAGAAGGAGGGAAATTTTAGTATTTTTGTGAAAAGAAATAAGGAAACAAATTTGGTGTTTTCAATTTTTTGGTTTTTCATAATTTTATCTTTTGAAATATGAATCTTTAACTTTTATATGGAGGCATGACTAGTTAAAATTATTCTTATATGCTTTGAAGGCTAATATGTATATATGTATGTAATTTTTTATGGGCTAATAAATAAATTAACCATTAGTTACAACAATTTATACTAAACTTGATAAGTAATCTTTGACGGTTCGTTGTTTAGGATATAAAGTATATGGTTAGGGTATAAGGTATAAGGTACATATGGTTTAGGGTGTATATGGTTAGGGTATAGGATATTGATGGTTTTGACGGTTCTAAGTTTTTTATTAACATATGTTCACTTGAAGTCATTTGAAGTCTTTAACGGCAGGAGATCTCTTTTTAATTTATGTTTATGGTACGTGGTTAGGGTACAAGGTATGTGGTGTAAAGTATATATGGTTAGGGTATAGCAATTAGCAAATATCACTTTTTATCTATGTTTTGAAAATCAAAGTATGAATTCACTTTTAAATTAACTATACTAGCAAAATCACAACTCAATGACATATGGTTAGGGTATAGGTCATGTGGTTAGTGTATAATGTATTGATGGTTTAGGGTATACAATCAACAACATATACTAACTTAATATTGTTGATTGAGGGTAAAGCTAAGTGTATAGGATATATGCTATTGAGTAAGTTATGATTGAAGTCACAATAATTTTACTAAATTTGATAGCTAATCTTTAATGATTCAATTTTTAGGATAATTCGAACAATTTTACAAATAACTCGTTTGGCAACAGTTTACTAAAGTTAATTGGGCAATGAGTTATTTTGAAATAACTCCTTTTATCACTATGTTTTTTCCAAATACCACACGTCAAATACCAGATTTGCATGGTTATACTAAACGAGATACTTTAATCCAATTACTACTGAATTAATACTAAAATATCAAATAAACAATTAACGGTGTCTTTTGGTTGCAAATATTGATATCACCATTACTATTAGCTATAATACTTTACCAATTATGATTAATTACATAACAAGTTTGCAAGTCATACAAATTGATTTAACATTTTGACTAGTTTTTTTCAAAAAAAATAAAGTATATATATACGAGGTAGAAATAAATTGGTTAAAAAGTTGAGAAAATATTTTAAATTAGTGTAATAAAATGTGTAAGTTGGTAATGAGTAATGAGTTAAGTTACTTGATGCGCTGGCCCGAACAACCTGAAACCCGACCCGCCCGACCCAAAACCCGATGAACCCGCAACCCGATTTGCCCGCAACCCGATTGAATCCGAACCCGATGAACCCGCAACCCGACTAACCCGCAACCCGTTTGAACCCGAACCCGATGAACCCGCAACCCGACTAACCCTCAACCCATTTGAATCCGAACCCGATTGAACCCAGCCCGAACCCGCCCGAACCCGCCCGATTGACACCTATACTCTCGACCATTGAGAGTTAGTCTCTAGATTAAGGAACCAACGGACGAATCTCTGATATCCATTAATCCTTATAGAGAATTTTCTAATTTTTTTTTAATCGGCTCTTATCTTCTTCGTTTTAAATTGGATTTCAAATTTTTTGCGCATATAGAACGAGCTCGTTGTGCACTTGTGCTATACAAAAGGAGATCCATTTTTTTTAAATATATTTTGATAAAAAAATTCATACCGCTCGTTGCCAACTCCATATCATATGGTATCTCCTTTGTTTTTTTTTAAATCGATGTTGAAAATTTTGCACAGAAAGAACGAGTTCATTAAGAACAAATTTACAAGGGAAAAATACAAGACAAAAAAATACCACCTCATACCACCCTGGTATCAAGTGGTATCTTGTGGTACACAATGTTGAAAATTGTAAATGAAAGTTAGTATATTCATACTTTCATGTATTCAACCATTCTATAGTGTGTAATGTTCATACCACCATGATACACTTCTATACCATGCGGTATACTCTTATGTAATACCAAACAATACCAAATTGATATAGACTGGTACTAAATGCCTCAAAAAAATGATTTCAGAAATATATTAAGGGTTCATACCTTATTTTGCCCTGAACTATGATCATATAATCAACTTTGGCCCGTGGTTTCAGAAATTAACATCCTGGCTTCAACTATGTAACATATAGACTCAATAAGCCCGACACATAGTTTGACCATTAATTTGGATGGTCAATACCATTGACCGTTAGTCAACACGCCATGTCATTGCGTCGTCACCCTAAAAATCATTCAAAAATTCAAATTCAAATTATTTTTATAATTTTTATTATTTATTATCAAATTAAAAAAATAATTTATTAAAAACATAAAAGAAAATAAAACTATTATTTTTTGTGTAATTTGAAAATGATAAATTTTATAAATTAACCAAAAATTATCAAATTATTTTATATTTTTAACATTACCTAGAAATAAAATATATAATTTACATCATGTTTTTAAAATTTATAAAATTTAATTTGATAATTTTTGGTTAATTTATAAAATTTATCATTTTCAAATATCCCAAAAAATAAAATATAAATTTTATTTTATATATTTTAAATTTTATTTTTTGAATAATTTTAA